TTATCAGGGAGTCCCACTCAATCATTTTCAGAAAACTATTCGTCTGACGGGTTATCATGTTCCTCCAACATCTTGTTTCCGTCAAGTCTATCAAGTGTGCACAATGAAATGGATAATGTTATCACAAATTCATCGTCTTTAGAATCAGACTATCTAAGCCATAAAAGAGCATCTTGTGATGGCACTGATATCCACAATGATATGCTTACTCCATCGGTTCCATCCACTCATGAGTCAAGACTACTAGGAAAACATGTTTTAAGGGATGTTTTTATTTGGGGAGAAGAAGCCGAAGGAGGATGCTTGGGGGATGGTGAGGTAAAGTCGGATGCTTTGTTACCCAAACTTCTTGAGTCCACTTTGATGCTTGATGTACAAACAATATCAATAGGCAGGAGTCATGCTGCCGTAGTCACCAAACAAGGTGAAGTGTTTTGCTGGGGTGAAGGAAAGAATGGAAGACTTGGACATAAAATTGATATAGATACTGCATGCCCAAAAATCATCGACTCCCTTAATGGCGTTCATGTAAAATCTGTCAGTTGTGGTGAATATCATACATGTGCCTTGACAACTTCAGGTGAACTGTATACATGGGGTGACAATTTTAGTGCTGATTTAGTTGGTGAAGAAGAAAAGAAGAGGAGCTATTGGCTGCCAAACAGAGTTTGTGGTTCTTTGGATGCTATGAAAATATCTTACGTTGCTTGTGGGCAATGGCACACTGGAATTGTGTCAACATCTGGACAATTGTTTACTTATGGAGATGGAACTTTTGGTGTTCTTGGTCATGGGAATCTCAAAAGCGTGGCTCGCCCGAAAGAAGTTGAGTCCCTTAGAGGTCTGTGGGTGAAATCAGTTGCATGTGGACCGTGGCATACATCTGCAGTAGTGGAAATCTCTGTTCATTACCTTAAATTCAATAATCCAGGCGGGAAGCTTTTTACATGGGGTGATGGGGATAAAGGAAGACTTGGTCACTCTGAAGATAAGAGAAAGCTTTTACCAACATGTGTAGCTAAACTTGTGGATCATGATTTCATTCAAGTTGCCTGTGCAAACACCTTAACCATTGGGTTGTCTACTGAAGGAAAGGTTTACACAATGGGAAGTTCGGTGCACGGGCAGCTGGGTAATCCAAAAGCCAAAGAAAAATCAGTAGTGATGGTGCAAGGGAAACTTAAAGGCGAGATTGTTACAGAGATATCCTCGGGATCTTATCATGTTGCTGTGCTTACATCTAAGGGAAATGTCTACACATGGGGTAAAGGTTCAAACGGACAGTTGGGATTAGGTGATACGGAAGATAGAAACTGCCCAACCTTAGTTGAGGCTCTAAGAGACAGGCAAGTGGAACATATTGCTTGTGGATCAAATTCTACAGCAGCGATATGTTTGCATAAATCTATGTCAAGTAGTGATCAATCAGTTTGCAGAGGATGTGGCACGACTTTTGGGATTACAAGGAAGAAGCAAAATTGTTATAATTGTGGTATTTTATTTTGTCGTGCATGCTGCAGCAAGAAAACCACAAATGCATCTTTGGCACCAGACAAAACTAAAGCTTCTCGTGTATGTGATCCATGTTTCTGCCAACTGCAAAGGATTGTTCAATCAAGCAGACCACCCAAGACAACAATGCATAGCCCGGGACCGCTATTGATAACTCAGAAGGCATCTATTAATGTCAAGGAAGAGATAGAAGAGTCAAATAGTATATCAAGACGAATGTTGTCAACCAGAAAATATTTTAGTGAGAACAGTCAATGCTGTGACCGGAGGGTTGTAAACAATCTAGGGGAAAGTACACAGTGCTTAGATCCCATTGAATCTTTGTTGGATAGTTTTCCAAGATGGGGACCAGTTACTTGTTCTGAAATCTTTAGAAGAGGAAGTGGACACACAAGAACTCCAAATCTTCGTGTGAGAAATTCACGGGTTTCAGCTTCCCCAACTCATTCGAAGGTTCCTCCAGAACCAAAAGTTGTGTGTTCAACTGCGCTAACTATGGAGGAAAAATTGTCAGAATCAGATAAATTGCTCCTTGAAGAACTTTCCAAGCTAAGAACTCAGGTACATTTCCTAATATCTGGTTTTCTTAAATCATAATTCTACTGCTTATACCTCCTTATGGCTACCTTAATTGATAATACTTCTATGTCTTGTTTATGAGTTTGCCGGTGCCAATTGTGTATATTTGCCTAGAAACAATTCAACACGTAGCAAATAAAAAGTGACCATTACTTGGGGTCAGTGTAAAACTTTAAAACTTTGACAACTCTATACCGTGTGACACCATCTAGCTATAGGAGTTGTTTGATTATGATGCTGAAATGACCTGTGTTGAAAGGTGATACGATAGTTAACATATTTATTCCGCGTCATTTGCGAGATAAACAAACATCCAAGGTTTTAAGCTGACCAAAAGTTGTTGGCAATGAACGCTATGCCTGCTTTGCTGATTTCCTTGATCGTTAGTTTGTAACACTTGGCCAAATATCTCCTTCTCTGTAATCCTCTCCACTAAAAAGAAAAAGGAGGAAGAATTACATAGCCTTACAAGTTACAACTCCAGATTCATATATCACTGAGAATTGGCTGTTTGGTCTATTAAGCTCCTGTATATCATGTTACTTGGTTTCACCCCTGAGTTGAAAATTCTAATTTGTGTAGTATACCTCCTGGGAAATTGCTCTTTCCTTTTAAGTTGTTAACTCACTTGAAGCCATCTTAAAGTATGAATCTTATGCAATTTATGTGCTTAGTAAACTGAGACTTCCACCTCGCCAGGTAGGGGTAAGGTCTGCGTACACACTACCCTCCCCAGACCCCACTTGTGGGATTTTACCGGGCATGTTGTTGTTGTTGTTGTTGTTGTTGTAGTAAACTGAGACTTCCAGTTGTCAAAGTCAGGGGTCGGCTCCATCTATGGCTAAGGAGTATGGGGTCTCTTAACTAAAAGCAGTATGGTTATAAAATAGTATTAGTTGTAAAATTGCAGAAACACAGCTAGAAATCTGATTGAGATGCTCCCCTTCTCGGAAGGGAGATCACTTTTTCAACATGTTTATTTCAGTAAACAAAGTATTTCCTAAGGATGTGTTAATACATATAATCTTGTTTCCTTTACTAGAGTTCGTGACCGTCGAGAGAAAAATAGCCAACCACACTATAGTATGTAACTACTACATACTAGGCCAAACATAATTAAGTGGACAACTACAGGATGATGCCTCTTAAGCAAAGTACAAGTTTCTTGTATATTTTTGTTTTGTTGCGTATAGCTCAAATTAGTAAACACTCAACTGGCTGACTGTAAAAATCTTCAGCTCATGATTTCAAGATTAGCTTTTGACACATGTAACACTCCCGTGTTATCCTTAATGTCAACATAATACTCTTTCATAACTACCAAATTAATTTCGTAGATTCATCTAAATGTGTATCTTAGTATCAGCTCAGAATACAATGCTTTTAGCTTGTTTTGCTAATTCCTGTTGCAGAGAATGTCAGCTCTTTACGCTAGAAGAGAAACTAACAATCAGGTTGCTGTCGATGTGGACAATAGCAAAGCTGATAGCCTATCGAGTTCTCCGATTGTATTTTCGAATAAGTTAAGATCCTTATATAACAAAGAACAGTATGCTGATGAATGGGTGGAACAGTACCAGCCCGGGGTCGATGTCACAATGACAATATTGCCAAGTGGGAAAAAGGGACTCAAGCGAGTCAGGTTCAGGTAAATTTATATCCAATATTTAGAACATCTTTAGACATACATAGTTCCACTGCATGCTTTACATTTCTAATGCTTACTTGGGTTGCATTATGCAGTAGGGAAAAGTTTACGACGAAGGAAGCAAAGAAGTGGTGGGAAGAGAACCAGCTATTCGTCTACCGAAAATATGATGTTGAGGGATATACGAATATGAAGCAACATATGACGAAGAATTAGAAGTTTCCTTTTCTTCCAAAATGTAAGTTATACAGGTTTCCTTCGTAAGTAGTTCATGCTAATTGAAGCATTTCATCAGTCAAAGATTTAGATGTGTTTGAAGGAAGCAGTTTTGTCTTGTTCATATAAGAATAAAGAACAACCTTGACATGAATACCTAACAGTTAATTAATTTCACCAGCTCTAACCATCTTCATATGGGTGGCAAAATTAGCCTATGAAAACATGACTTGGCCAACTCTGGGTTGGTCAGGAATTCACCATGTTGAGAATGAATCCCCTACAGAAATAATATTCGCGGTAATAAAAGCGGAATAATAACGTAGCACCGAGATACGGTATTTAATAAGAATAAAAGAATAACAACGATACCAAGATTTTTACGTGGAAAACCCTTTTGAATAAGGGAAAAAACTACGGCCTCGAGAGGAGAAACTGATATTACTATAGCAAGGAATTTTACACTTTGTAGGTCCGAGTAAAATACTCCAAAGACCACTACAACACTCAAAAGAAATAACCCTCTTTTGATATTCCCGCCTCACTACAATATCGCCCTGATACATGATTTTAGTATTTTAGAGAAATAAGCTCGATTATAGAAGAAATAAGAAGCAAAAGAAGTCAGTAGTTAGTAGTTCAAAAAGTTAGTTAAAGGGAGGGAAAGTTAGTTACGTTAGTTAATGGTGGAATAACAGAATTCTGTTATTAGTTCTGTTAGAAAGGATCCAGCTACATAGTGAATGTATGAATCATTACATATAGGGATTGTATACATCATTTTTCCAGCTATGAATAACAGTTACATCATTTTCCCTCAATCTCTCTATTCTTCTTCTTTCTCTTTTCTTCTCCTCTTCTGAAATTCTAAAACTCTTACTACTGCCTCGATTCATTCCTGGAGTAGTGCTACGATCCTCGAATTCCTCTTGAACCTGCAATCGTGTAACATTGGTATCAGAGCAGTGTGATCCTTGGAACCATGGCAAAATAAGCACGAACTACTGACATTGGAAATGAAGAAAATCCAGATCTACGAGAGTTGATGCAGAAATTGATAGCTGATGTAGGAGTTCTATCTGGAGAAGTCTTAGCTCTAAAGCAGTTAGATCGGACAGTCCTCGAATTGAAGGAGCAGATGACGAATTCAAGGGAAAACCAGAAGGATAAGGCTCCAGCAACAGACGATGATGGACCTTCTGAAGCTAGATCTCATCGAGAGAAAAGCCCTGCGAGTTATAATCATCATAACTCCAATTTCTCTAGGTGGTCTAGGATGGAGTTTTTACGATTCAATGGAGAAGATCTGAGATCATGGTTGTTCAAAATTGAACAATTCTTCTCTATGGAAAAAGTGGATACTGAAGAAAGGGTTGAAGTAGCAGCATTACAACTGGAAGGAGAAGCAATTCAGTGGCATCTTTCCTTCATGAGGTATAGGCAGTACTTGCAACCTGCTACTTGGAATGAGTATGTGATGGCAATGGTTGAAAGATTTGGGTCTGATTTCGATGATCCTATGGAAGAGATCAAAAAGATCAAGCAGACTGGGAGTGTGAAGGAATATCAGGCTATCTTTGAAAGGAATTTGAATAGAGTGAGGTTATCTCAAGAAAATGCAATCAATTGTTTTATTGGGGGTTTGAAGCGTGAGCTGAACATTGCTGTGAAGTTGACTAATCCAACCACTCTGTCTCAAGTGTACAGAACAGCAAGGATGCATGAAGTTTATTTGGCTGCAACAAGTTCTTCAACTAAAAGATACACAGCACCAAGCAATAATGGTAAGCCTCTATTACCAACTCCTAATTCTGGTAATTCTAGCTATGTTAGGGGTTTTACTAAGAGAGCATTAAGCATAGAGGAGATGAATGAAAAGAGGGCAAAAGGATTGTGTTATTTTTGTAATGAAAAGTTTGTGCCAGGCCATAAATGTAACAGTTCTAAACAGTTGTATCTATTGGAATTAGAAGAAATAGAGGAGGAACCTTATGCAGGGGAAGGGCAGGAGTTAGAAATCCATGAGGAGAGAATGGACCTAGTAGAATCATCTCAAGGTATGGAACAAATGGAAATTTCTATCCATGCTCTGAATGGTTCATTGGGTTATAGAACATTACAGGTTACTGGTTATCATGCAAAGAAGGCCCTAAGCATATTGATTGATACTGGTAGTTCACATAATTTCATAGATCCTGAATTGGTTAAACACCTAGGATGTAAGGTTCAGTCTACTAAACCTCAATTAGTAGCTGCTGCTAATGGGAACATGATGGTAGATAGAGTATGTACAATCACTTGGCTGCTACAAGGTGCTGAGTTTTCAGCAGAATTTTTACTGCTACCTTTAGGCTCATGTGGAGTAGTGTTGGGAGTGCAATGGCTACTAACACTGGGAGATATAAAAATGAACTTTAGAAAGTTAACTATGGAATTCTGGTATAAAGGAAGGAAACATCTTCTCAGAGGTGCTGACAATCAAGTGAGGGTGCAGGAAGCTGAGAAACTAGTTAAACATACAGGGGATATGTCTCAATTGTGCATGATACAAGTGGTTCCTATGGGAGAAACAGAAGAACAATGGCATGCTATTAAGACTGAGGAGGACCCTGTGGTAAATGATGGTCTGACTCAATTGCTAAATGAGTATTCTGTATTATTTGAAGAACCTACTGGATTACCTCCTTCTAGGGGTGTCTTTGATCACAGGATTGTACTCCAAAATGGTACTGAACCTGTGAATAAAAGGCCTTATAGATATCCTTCAGTCAAGAAGGATATTATTGAGGGTCTTGTGCAACAGATGTTAGATCAAGGCATCATTCAACCTAGTTGCAGTCCTTTTGCATCACCAGTGGTATTAGTAGAAAAAAGGATGGATCATGGAGGTTATGTGTAGATTACAGAGATCTGAACAAGCATACTCTGAAGAATAAATTTCCTATTCCTATTGTAGAAGATTTGTTAGATGAGCTTGGGGGATCTAAAGTTTTTTCTAAAATAGATTTAAGGTCAGGATATCATCAACTCAGAATGGCCAAAGAAGATGTACCTAAGATTGCCTTTAGAACTCATTCTGGTTATTTTGAATATTTGGTAATGCCATTTGGTCTATCAAATGCTCCTGCAACTTTCCAAGGATTGATGAATTCTCTTTTTCAGAAGTTTCTCAGAAATTATATATTGGTTTTCGTTGATGATATCCTCATTTACAGCAGTACCTTAGAGGATCATTTAACTCAATTGAAATCTGTTTTTGTGGAGATGAGTAAGCACTAGCTATTTGCAAAGAAGAGAAAATGTTTCTTTGGAGTTTAGAAGATTGAGTATTTAGGACACTTCATTTCAGCTGAAGGAGTGTCTACTGATCCTCAAAAGATACCAGCAGTCCAAAACTGGCCCACACCAACAACTCTCAAACAGCTCAGGGGATTTCTAGGCCTACCTGATTATTACAGAAGATTTATTAGAGGTTTTGGAGTGATTTGCAAACCTCTTACTGATTTACAAAAAAGGATTGGTTCAAATGGTCAAATTTAGCAGATGCAGCTTTTACAGCTTTGAAAAAAGCACTCACTCAAGCTCCTGTTCTAGCTTTGCCAGATACTACCAAGACCTTCATTGTAGAAACTGATGCCAGTGGTCATGGTATTGGAGCAGTACTTATGCAGGAAGGGCACCCCATAGCCTTTATTAGCAAGGCTTTATCACCCAAGCATGCAACTTTATCTGTATATGATAGGGAGCTATTGGCAATGGTACATGCAGTGACTAAATGGTAACAATATCTATTGGGGCAGAAGTTCATCATCAGAACTGATCAAAAGGCTTTGAAGTATCTTATGGAGCAGACCTTACACACAAACTCTCAACTATTGTGGCTGACCAAGTTAATGCCCTTTGATTACTCAATTGAATACAAAAAAGGTGTGGAAAACAAAGTAGCTGATGCCCTTTCTAGGGTAACTGGAGCTGAAATATTGACATTGCTTGTTTCATCTGGTGATACTGATCTCTTTCAAGCTATAGTTAATAGCTGGAATTCTGATCCAGAACTAAAGAAAATCATTGCAGAGTTAGAAGCTGATCCTCTCACTCACAAGCAATTCACATGGTCCCAAGGGCAACTAAGAAGGAAAGGCAGATTGGTGATAGGTAAGGAACCACAACTGAGGAGAACCATCATGACTCTATGGCATACTGCTCCTCAAGGAGGTCATTCAGGTGTTGAAGCCACCTTGAAGAGATTGCTTACACTGTTCTACTGGAAAAACATGAGGAAGGAGGTGAAGGATTTCATCCAGAAATGTGATATTTGCCAAAGGAACAAGTTTGATTTGGCTGCTTATCCAGGGCTGTTACAGCCCTTACCTATTCCAGATATGGTATGGTCTCAAATTAGTATGGACTTCATTGATGGTCTACCTAAATCAAAAGGGTATGAGGTGATATTAGTAGTGGTAGACAGACTTAGTAAGTATGGACACTTCATTCCATTGAAGCATCCGTATACTTCTAAATCTGTAGCTCAAGTGTTCTTAGACACTGTGGTGAAATTGCATGGTCTTCCTGACACTATTACCAGTGATAGAGATGCTGTATTCCTTAGCCAATTTTGGCAGGAGTTATTCACATTGCAAGGAGTTCAGTTGAATACTTCTTCTGCATATCACCCTCAATCTGATGGTCAGAATGAGGTGTTGAATAGAAGTTTGGAGACATACTTAAGGTGTTACTGCAATGATGATGCCTCTAACTGGTATTCTTGCTTGCCTATGGCTGAGTACTGGTATAACACCTCATTTCATTCAGCCATACAAACCACCCCTTATGAAGCCTTATATGGTCGACCACCTCCTCTATACTTACCATACTTACCAGGGAAGTCAGCTTCAACAGAGGTGGATAACACCTTGATCAACAGGGAGCTAAAGCTTCAGCTGCTGAAGCACCATCTCATGAGAGCTCAACATAGAATGAAACAACAAGCAGATACTCACGGGAGTGACAGACAGTTTGAGGTTGGGGATTGGGTTTACCTTAAAGTTCAACCATACAAACAAGTCACCATATCCAATCACACTTCTCATAAACTAGCCTCCAAATATTATGGGCCTTTTCAAATTCTAAAAAGGGTGGGTCCAGTTGCCTATACATTACTACTGCCTGCTGGAGTCCAAATCCATTCCACAGTACATGTGTCATTATTGAAAAGGTGCTATGAGGTTCCACCACAGATTGTTTATCCACCCACTCTTGACTTGGCAAGTCCATATTGTCCTGATCCTGAAGCTGTATTACAAAGGATAATGGTGAAGAAGGGAAACAAGGCGGTTGCACAAGTGTTGGTTAAATGGCAAGGACTTCCTACTGAAGCTGCTACTTGGGAGTTTGCTACTATTTTGAACACAAGGTTTCCTACATTTGATCATTGTGGTCAAGGATCTTCGATTGGGGGGAGTACTGATACATGATTTTAGTATTTTAGAGAAATAAGCTCGATTATAGAAGAAATAAGAAGCAAAAAAAGTCAGTAGTTAGTAGTTCAAAAAGTTAGTTAAAGGGAGGGAAAGTTAGTTACGTTAGTTAATAGTGGAATAACAGAATTCTGTTATTAGTTCTGTTAGAAAGGATCCAGCTACATAGTGAATGTATGAATCATTACATATAGGGATTGTATACATCATTTTTCCAGTTATGAATAACAGTTACATCATTTTCCCTCAATCTCTCTATTCTTCTTCTTTCTCTTTTCTTCTCTTCTTCTGAAATTCTGAAACTCTTACTACTGCCTCGATTCATTCCTGGAGTAGTGCTACGATCCTCGAATTCCTCTTGAATTCCTGCAATCGTGTAACACGCCCACTCAATATTTTTCTTACAGACTATTTTCTTATACCCTGTTTGTGAAACCTCACTCTTTCTTTCTCTTTGTTAGTGTATAGAAATGATTTTGTTGGTGTGTAGAAATGATCGAGAGCCGAAACTCTCCTTTTAATTATAGCCGAAGTCTCACTCTCTGAAGCCTATTATATTTGACAATTTGCACACATTTTTCCTTCTTTTTCTTCAATGTCAACAATTCGACAAGGTTGGCTGCCAACCCAAAGAAATTTTCAGCCTGAAATTCAAAAATAGCCAGATTTACCACTGGTCGTTGAAAAATAGCCAAGTTTCAAAAGTCATCGAAATTTAGCCACTTTAAATCTGAGCGAAAACACTGTTCAAAATCCGGAAAAATACGCCCGTAAATTTTATGGGAGTTCCAGCATAAGTATGCTTGAACTCCCGTAAATTTTACGGGAGTTCCAGGATTACTATGCTGGAACTCCCGCAAATTTTACGGGAGTTCAAGCATAATTATGCTGGAACTCCCGCAAATTTTACGGGAGTTCAAGCATAATTATGCTGGAACTCCCGCAAATTTTACGGGAGTTCCAGCAAGTATAATTGTCCAGTATAATATACTGGAGTTTGGAGCACTGGTGCTCCAGTCTCCCGCAAATTTTACAGGAGTTAACAAAGTATACCAGTCCAGCATAATATGCTGGAGTTCGTACACAAATGCACCAGAACTCCCGTATATTATACTGGACCGGTCCCTGTTGCAGCAAAATAGTGGCTATTTTTCATTGACTTGATAAACGTTGGTTATTTTTCATTGACCAGTGTGAAAATTGGCTATACCAATATTTTCCTTAGGCACATGCCTATTACTTTGGCTTTTGAATGAAATGGACCCCATCACACCAGTAGCTATTTTTCGGCCGCTGATGAAGTTTATCAGGGTTTGCAAAATATTTAAAGTTATGAGCACGTGATTTTTGCCCTAAGCAAATTATTTCCAAAAAAAAAAGTTTCGAATAATTAATTTCTTTATTATTTTACAATTTTTGTGAATTTTTGTTAAATTTTTGTGTTAATTGGTTGCATTTTTATTCATATGAAAATACAAAAATATGCACTTGCATTTAGGGATTTAATTTCACAATTTTAGTATTAATTAGTTTTAGAACAAAATTGCAAAAAATAGTTTCTTTGCACTTTCAATTGTTAATTGTTGCATTTATCTTTAAATAGAGTTTTAAATAATTTTAGGAGTTAAATAGTTTAATTAGGTCTTTGTTTTGTTTTAGTATTTTATAAAATCAGAANTGAAGAAGAAAGCTTCCCAAAAACCATGAGCAAGAAGAGATGATACGGAAAGTTAAGAGCATAGAACAGTCATTCCGAAATATGCAGGGGCTCGGAGGACAAGTGAATGTAGCCTACAAGGACCTGTGCCTGTTTCCTGACGTCCAGTTGCCAGCAGGATTCAAGTTACCCAAGTTTGACTTATATGATGGACATGGTGATCCGGTGGCCCACTTAAGGGGATTCTGCAGCAAGATGAGAGGAGCTGGAGGAAGGGACGAGTTATTGATGGCTTAGTTTAGTCAAAGTCTAAGTGGAGCAGCCTTGGAGTGGTACACACGACACGATCATGCTCGATGGTACACCTGGGACGATCTGGCCCAAGCATTTGCATGTCATTTTCAGTACAATCTCGAAATTGTCCCGGACCGTCTGTCACTAACTAAAATTGAGAAGAAGCCCGGAGAAAGCTTCAGCGAGTATGGTTTTCGATGGCGGGAGCAGGCGGCAAGAGTCGATCCTCCAATGAAAGAGAACGAAATGGTTGATTATTTCCTACAAGCTTTGGAGGCAACCTATTATGGTCATCTGGTGTCAGCATTGGGAAAAACTTTCAACGAGGTCGTGAAAATGGGAAGTATGGTGGAAGAGGATCTCAAGTCCAACAAGATTATGAGCTATTCAGCAATCAAAGCAACTACTCAGGCTATTCAGAGCGGCACTGGAGGAGTATTGGGAAAGAAGAAGAAAGAAGAGGTTGCAGTA